GAAAAGTTTAAGGAAATCAGGGATGTGCCACCATATTTTTAAAACGATCGAAGTCGTCTAAAATAGAAACACAATTCCATTTTTATGTCGTGTAAAAAAAATCGAACATTAATGTATCAAATAAAAGAGTTTTACTCAGTTTACTTTATGTCAACTACACCTAGAAAACAACCTTATTTTTGATGTAATGTGGAACGATTTTCCGTCATCCCTTGTCAATCGTTCCACATTACATCACACTCCTACCCTGTCGGAAATACCAACAACAAAAATGGGAACCTTATTTTTGTTTGACGGTATTCGTTGGATCTTCCGACAGGGTGAGAAGACAATGGATTTTGGAATGAATTTCCGTTATCCCTTGTCAAATTTGGAGACAAAACGATTTCGTCGTTTTGCCATCTGCAGCACCATTTTTCGTTCTCACAATGCCGAAACCGGTTCATCAAATAAACTCTGGCAAGACAACAATGGTGTTTGTTCTACACTGAGAAAAGAGTTTAGTTACATCAACTAAATATGCTTCTCTCAACATATGATTTGGTTATATATGCATTCTTAAAACAAAATTTCGAATCGACATTCATTTCAATTCATCTATTCAATATCCAATTGGTTACTCCCACTCAAGTCTGGTTAGAGATGTTTGGTTTTTCTACTGTGTATTGGAATAAAGTGAAAGCAACTCACATTTAATCGCTCTCATGTGTGCGCATAGATATTGTTACATAACACGTAGCTATGCTATGACTTCTTCTAATATATTTTTATAACCTTTGGTGTCTAAAAATGCCCTACTGCAGAAGCACATGTCAGTATATGTATGTATGTATGTGGTTGTTAGTTAAGTGTCAAAACAGATTTCGGAAAATCGTCTAAAACTTAAGTAAGCAAATACATACACATATAGATATCCAAATAAGTAAGTAAAAGAATTTTTATAAATGCCCAGCTATATACACACATTTATTTTAAATGCAAATGAAGCAGCAAGGATGACTCTGTTTATTTTTGCAGAATTGTAAACGTGTAAATATCTTGCAAACATATATGTATGTACATTTGGGTGGTCCAAAAATAGTAAAGTCGGAATTGTAATGCTCTCACCCCTCTTTATCGAAAAAGTATACCCCTATTTTTTATTTTGAAAGCAAAAAATATTTCGAGGTCGCTCAAAGTTTTCCATATATTTTTATATTGGAAAAACAGCAAAATAAATATTTTTCGATGGGAAAGCTTTTGTTCACTTCAAGAGACTTTCAGTAATAATACCCGATTGTTTATTTAATCATTTTTTAATACTAACGATTTTGATTGGTCTCCCCATTGCATTTTTCGTGGTTTTTGTGGGTTTATGGCGGACCTGTAAATTATAGTTGCAATGAAAAAATGGTTAAATAAACAATTGGTTATTATTATTGGGAATCTCCTGCTTATAAGCAGGGTTTTCCCATAGAAAAATATTGATTATTAAGAATTCTATAACATTTCTACGAAAAGTTGTTTTTTCCCCGCATAAAATACATGAAAAACTTAGGGCGCTTTGAGCGATCTCTAAATATTTTTTGATTTCAAAATAAAAAAATGGGATACATTTTTTATCGGTATAGAACAGTCGGGGTGACCTTTCTTGGACCACCCTAATGTACATACTCGGCATGTGTTTTACGTATTTACATACATACATACATACATATGTAAGCGAAAATGAATGCAAATTACGCTGATTTTTATTGCACTGTCAATCTGCAACTTATCACTCAGACTTTGGCAGCAATGTCTCAGTAAGGAATGAAAAAAGTTACTAAGGCAAAAGAATTCACTGCCTTAGTGGTAAAATAAAGGGCATAGATGGCTGCAAATGTTATTGACGTATATTATGGCCTATACGTATATTTTATAAACAAACGCATAGAAATCTGGCGGTGAAATAAGAAGGCATAAGCTTCCTTACTTAGATGTACATACAACTGCGCGACATTCAGTGGCAGTGTACGCATGTGTTTTTGACAAACATATCTATTAATACTTGAATCGTTGCTCATGTACGTCTACATTCACGCCTCATTTCACAATGATACCCACAATTTGACTACATAGTACATTGTCAATTTAATATGCACACGTATTCTTAATAGAAAAACGCTGGCTCATCGGTTGGTCAAAAAGTTGCGGGCTTAAGTACTTAAGCCTGTCTGATTCTTAATTCGTCTCGACTCTTCTCCATTCTAATCATATTTACATCAATTTCGCTAGAGTTAAGTTTTGTTCTTTTTTCTTGCGTTGGGTGTACTAATGTCTTTATGTGCGTTTCGGTGCTGTCTATCTATCGACCGTTCCATTCATCCCACCCATAAACTTATCTGTACATCTCAGTCACCACTCAAATTCACTCTTGTAATTCTTTCCTGCTTTACCAAAAAATTTTGTTCAGTAGCCAATAAATTATTTAGTTGCCACGCTTTTCATTGCCTTCCTCATTGCTTTATGTTTTTTTTGGGTTGTTTTGGTTTCTTTTTTGTCGTATGATACGTTGATTGAATTCAATTTATTATGTCAATATGATATTCGAAATGTCTGCTATTTTGATAGAGTAATGGATTTTTATACCTTTCATGAGCATGAAATGGTATTATAACTTTGGTCCGATGTTTGTAAGTACCAGAACAAAAAGAGATAGACCCAT